TTCTATTCTATTCTATTCTATTCTATTCTATTCTATTCTATTCTATTCTATTCTATAGAAATTCAACAGTAGAGATGTACTGTGCTGATTGGAGATTAGCATTCAATTATAGGTTATAGCTAGCCAGGAGACAGCATCTATTCAATTTTGGCTGATCTAGAAAAGTTATGCATAGTGAACCTAGGATCGGGAGCTACCAGAAATCTCAAGTTGTAGGTTGGACTGAGAAATTGAAAAAAGGCTATGACAAATCTTTTCCGCATTTTTTGCTGAGAAAATGACAGTCTTCGGACATTGAACTTAACTTGGACTGTTTATTTACCAACAATTTAAAAGATAGAATGAACATTTTCAGGATGAAAAATAAGTTACATGTGCTAAAATAATTAGGGGATAGGAAGACCCAAAATTTTGTAATAAATATTTGGGAAAAAACTATTTTTGAAACTTAGCCTCTATCTTAACTATGGACTAGTTAAAGCATTTTCTTTTAACCACCCTGCAACTCTGATTACTCAATGCTGGATAATCTCAGATTCTAATCTTAGGATGCAGGAGGCAGAACACAGGATTAAGTTATATATTCTAAGACTGTAGTCAAATTTGCACCTGCCTTTTCTCTTATCACTCAAGCAAGATTTCACTGCAGCAGTGCTTAGATTCACAATCCAACATACCAACCATCTTCATGCATCAATTACAGAGCAACAAATATCTAGACAGCATCATGAATTTGGGAAGAGGTTTTAATCTGTTCCGGATTACTGAGCTAGAGAATCTATTCCTCCAAAATAGCCTGGCTCCATATACCACACAGATATGCCTCCTGCAGTACATACCAAATGCCAGTACATAGTTGTCCATGAGCAGATATAAAATCTAAACAAAAAATCCTACTAATCTTGAATGTATTTTTGTCTTGTCCTAGCACACACAAACACACAGACAGACAGACACATAGAGAGATCCTGCCTTGGCTTTGAAGTCTCTCACTCTGGCAATACTGCTAGGAGGCAATATCAAGTGGACTTCTATTGATCTCAAAAAAACAAAACAGGGTTAAACTGGATGAGAGATCATCAGGAAATTTTAGAGTTATAGCAGAGACTGGGACATTAAAAAGCATCCAGAAAGAAGGCAGAAACAGTTGACTTCTGTACTACAGGAAAAGGAGATAGATGTGCCCTTGCAGTCAACAGGAGCCAAGCACAATCCCAAGGAGAGCTTGCATTATCTCTATTATTATTATCTTCATTAACAACTTAGATGAGGGAATAGAAGGGGAACTTACCAAATTTGCAGATGATACTTAGCTGGCAGGAATAGCTAACATCCAAGAAGATAGGCTCAAGATCCAGATGGATCTTGAGAGACTAGAACACTGGGCCATATCTAACAAAATGAAATTCAATGTAGAGAAAAGCAAAGTCCTACACTTAGGCAAGAAAAACCAAAAGTACACATATAGACTGGGTGAAACCAGGCTCAATAGCAAAAACTGTGAGAGGGATCTTGGAGTCAGTGGACAACCAGCTAAATATGAGCAAGCAGTGTGCAAAAAGCTAATGCAATCCTAAATTGTATTAACAGAGGGATACAATCAAGATCAAGGGAAGTACTAATACCACTCTATAAAGCCTTAGGAAGACCACACCTAGAGTACTGCACCCAGTTTTGTTCACCACATTATAAAAAAGATTTTGAGACTCTAGAAAAAGTACAGAGAAGAGCAACCAGGGTGATTAGGGACTGGAGACTAAGGCATACGAAGAACAGTTACAGCAACTGGGCTTGGCTGGTTTAGTAAAGAGAAGGATCAGGGGAGACATGTTAGAGGTCTTCCAATATTTGAGGGGCTGCCACAGAGAGGAAGGGGTCAAGCTATTTTCTAAAGCGCCTGTAGGCCAGACAAGGAATAATGGATGGAAACTGAACAAGGAGAGATTTAACCTGGAAAGAAGGAGAAACTTTCTGACAGTGAGAACAATCAACCAATGGAACAGCTTGCCCTCGGAAGTTGTGGGAGCGCCACCACTTGAGACTTTCAAGAAGAGATTGGACTGCCATTTGTCAGAAATGGTATAGGGTCTCCTGCTTGGGCAGGGAGTGGACTAGATGACCTACAAGGTCCCTTCCAACTCTGATTATATGTTATCTGTTATTATATCATCATCATCATCATCATCATCATCATCATCACATTAATCATCATCATCTTTATTCTGGCAGTTGATCAAGTCCCTTTCCATCCGGCCCACAGAATTTTACAAGCAGCACAGAAGCCTGGTTATTTAATAAATACTTGTATCTCACCCCAAATGGCATGTTAAAAAATGACGCAATAAATAGAATGCACCCTTCAGTTGATGGAAAAGTGACAACTCCCCTCCAAAATAGATTCAACTTTTCCACCAGGCCGCCCACCAGCTGGGGCCCTTGAGTCTGATGCCTTCCCTCTGCAGTCATCGTTAAGGAAAAATGTCATGAGGCTGCCAATTAAGACTGTGTAGCCGAGCCACATTT